GTTTGTCAGTTTGTCTCAAGATACAATATCAAAATAATACTACTAATACTAATAATACTAATAATAGTTTCCATCCGGTCAAAAAAGGTTTTCCAGTGTGAATATTTACAGAGAGTTGGTGTAAGCCGAGCCTGTCCCCTTTGTGTTTAAGGATCCAGAGGTGATGAGTGGAACTAAGCTTCTGTCCTGTCATCAGCTGTGCACCGCTTGCACACATGCACCCATTCATTATTCATGTTTACATAATGGATAAACAGAAATGGAGTATTCAGTCTCAACGAAGAACCTCCATCTATGGGCATCAGCGGGAATTACAACCCCCATTACAAGCTTTGTATTGTGTGTTTGAACATGTTTTTTCTGAGCTTATCCCACATTGTTCCTCAACAAAAACCGAATTGTCTTTTAGCGCCATCTACCACGCTAAAATCAGGAACTTCTGGTCAATACACGTCCCCCCACCCCTTCTGTCTAAAAACGCTGTGTTCAAAGTTGTTACATTATGATGAATTCTCAGAATCTGGTCTCAGGACCTGGGGCACCTTTTTCTTTAAAACTGTACAACACAGGCTGATGTTGCCAAAAAGCTCAACCTTTAACCCGACTTGCAACCGGGGGGGTCCATGAGCATGTGCACTGACATACTTGCATACCATCCCGGGACAGTGGGGGTGGACCCAGACAGAGAATTATCAAATGTTTTTTTATGGCGTCTTCTTTTTTCTCAAAAACGTCTTTACAGGATTGTCCAAAAGTCGGCTCTTGGCCCAAAGCTACGTTCGAGATGTGTGAGGGGATTATACATTCTTGGACCACTCCAGTTTAGCCGCTGTGGACTTCAGAAGGCACTCATCAAATGGATGGGGCTCATGCCGGCTAACACATGCGCAAAAGTGTTTTTTCACATTTTCCTGCGGGAAGGGCTGCCCGCGGCCATTTTGAAAAAGCCCACAGAAGGCAAAAGTGATGGCACATTAGTCTCAACGACAGAGATAGGTGTGACTACGTCCTTTAATATTTACAGTCTATGCTTGCAACATTGGGCCTCATTCACGAATAACTTCGTAAGAAACTACTCAACTTTCTTCTCAAGTTGTCCTTAAGTAGATTTCTAAGAAGTCCCCACGTGGGATTCATCAACGCACTCGTAAGCCGCTGAATTGTTCGCAGCTGTTCTCTCAGATTGATGAATCCCATTTCCTCGTAAATACAGCGCGCGTGCCAGGTGCTTCATTAGCATAGGTACTTAGCATAAGTAACCGCCCATTAATGCCCATATAAGGGACTGCAGGGCCGTGTGCAGACGGCAGAGGAAACAGCAACAGGCCTAAAGCAGAGTTACACGGAGCAAAATAGTCACCCTTTTTTCTTCCTTTACCAGACTGAGAATAAAGTTATAAAATGTTGACTTAAAAGGCGAAATATTATGATAATAAAGTCGAACTAGCAAAATTATGAGATTAATCTAAGAATATGATGAGATTAATCTCAAAATGTTATGAGCTTAATTTAAAAATATATTATGTATTATTTTAAAGATGAATCTCAAAATGTTTTGAGATTAATCTCAAAATATTTTGGACCCTGGGAGGAGATCCAGCGCGGACCAGCGCTGAGACCAATGCAGACCCGAGGAGAGACTGGAGTGACCAGCACACAGAAACCAGCGCGGACCTATAGGAGAGACCGCATAGACTGGAGTGACCTGACTGGAGAGACCGGTGCGCAGAGACCAGCGCGGACCGAAGAGAGACCGCATAGACCAGACTTGAGAGACCAGCGCGGACCCGTATGGATCCAGGAGCATGCAGCACGGACCCGTATGGAGAGAGACCAGTGCAGACCCGTCTAGATCCATGGGAGAGACCAGCGCAGAGACTCAGCGCGGACCCAGTAACCTCCTGCAGCAGCAGTATATATGCCGTTGTTCTGTGGCCCGTGGATAAAGAAATGCCCCCTATAAATAGGAAGGGGTCACTAATACACGGCAAGATTTCCAATGTATTTGATAAAGCGTTGGCACATTTCATTTCAAAATGAATTAAAAAGTAGGCCAGATCTGCAGTGAAAAAGGCGGTATATAAATAAAGATTACTAATAAAGATTACTACAAATAAATAAATACATACATCGATATGACGGACATATCACTGGAATGTTGTATTTTTATTCAACTTCACCAAAGAGGACAACCCCGGCTGTGAACATGTCGGCACTGAATGCGTACGAGTGCTCCTGAGGACTCGTAGGATTTGTACTTGCCCAAGAGAAATTCTGGTTACGAGAAATATTCGTGAATGCCACTTTCTTCGTAAAAACCGCGTAAGTAGGATTTACGTACAAATCTGTTCCTAAGAACCGTTCGTGAATGAGGCCCATTGTCTTTTTGCAGAGGTTTGATCAGTGTGATCACTCTGACCAAATAAAACAGCAATAAAACCAAACTGTTTTACCAGACTGACTATACTTGGCAAAATTACAGCCTAACAAGAGTGAAGATTTTGCCATCAAAGTTTAGAAAAATGTCCTTATTTTTGGTTTATATTGGTTCACATGGATGAGAAACATGCTGCAGTCCGTTATAATGTGGGTTTTGCAAGACTTTTTTTGAATATGTGTTTTGACACGTTCCCAGTGGTGAAAAGACAAGACAGATTCAAACAAGTCTCCCACATCTCACTCCCAGGTCGACAAGGCATTTCAACATGGGATAAAAAAACACAGGGCAGTGGGAAAACTGCTCGTGACATCCTGGAAATTGCCGTTTTCTACCTTTTTAAAATCAAATGTTTTGGTCTGATTTATTTACAAAATTGTACTTATGCAAGTGTTTCGACTATGGCTTTGAGGGAGCAGAGAGCAGACTGAATGTGTGGAGTTACAGATGGTTCATGGACCAAACAACAGCGTCAAGTTACAGCCGCCTACTGCAAACTGCACTGCAAAAACACGTTCACCAGGCATAACATTACTTCAACTCAGGTTATGACATGCTTCTGGCTGCTCTACATCTCTAAAATAACATCTGTGGATCAGTCTTTTATAATTATAATAATAGAGCATCGTAAATCTCAATATTGATCTGAAATAATGTATTAAAACACACGCTTCTGAATCCAGTCCTGCAGTGTCACTCTGAACTCTGCCACTACACCCATGGGTTCAAATCCCACGTCCAGCTTAAACACGAACACTGCTCACACGAAAGGCTTTGCTCAGACCACAAATGAAGTTAGTGATCAGTAGATATTTTGAGCAACAGACTCTAAAAAGTGGTCATGTGACAGTAGTGAGAGGGCATAAGAGAATATAGAGAATAGAACAAACCGAGCAGCAGAATCAGAGAGTTTGTGTGTGTGTGTGTGTGTGTGTGCGTGTGTGTGTGTGTGTGTATGATTGTGTTACTTTTCTACTGTTTTTGAACACATATATTCCTAATTGTCTATAAAACAAAAATGACAGAAATGACCTGGAGAAATGGGCAAAAGCTAAGTCTATCTGTATGTTCTGTGGTCGTATAAAAAATTCTGAATTAAGGATAGAGCAGTGCATGTAACAGCACGAACTTTCTGGTTAGAATTTAACTCTTGTTCCAACGGTAGTCACGCTGTCAATTTGAATAAAATTGTTCCTTGTGTGTAGTTTTATAACCTTCTAACGGTCTAAAAAGCGACAACATTGTTTTTGCTCAGTGGGAATTAAGCAAATTAAGTGAAATAATGCAGATTTATGATGTTTTTGTGCAAGTGTCTGTGGTGTGGAGGAAATGGCACAGAGACACAGACAGGAGACATCCGACCTCCGGGACTAGAGTTACAGCTGGAGTCAAGAAGAGGCCTTTTCACACACCATTGTAAGAAGTGGGTCCAAGGAAAGACACGGCTGAGGGTCACACCAGGAAATGGAAACTCCAGCGATTACGATTACTTAATACTGCTATTTTTCTGGACTCTGACCATGCATTTTTGTATTTCCATGACATATGTTGTCTTGGAGAGAAAAATGGACTTGCCCGACATTGTGAATGGCAAACTGTTTGAGTAAATGGGTCTTTCTCTCGCGCTCAAAGACTTTGTAACTGCTTTTAATGAGCACTGATCTCCCTTATCTGGTTTACAGCTGAGGCTCAAAGAGGCTCCAGCCAAATGTCAAGGTGAAGTTTGTGATCCGCTGATAAACCGACAGCCAAATGAGGAAACCAGGGCTGAACCAGGGCCAAAACACGTTCAAATATCGCGCACAGCAAACCACAATTATACAGTAAAATAATGTTTAAAGGTGATTCTGCAAAATGTTTATGTTCTGGATATGTTCCAACATTGTTCCTCAGGCTTGCAGTTTTTTTAAGCTCCTAATGCTCTGTTTTCAAAATTGTTACTTTGACAAATTCAATTCCATTTATTTTTGTATAGCCCAAAATGACAACAGCAATTGTTTTCAGAGAACTTTACAAAGTTGTAATTTCATTAAAAGATCAGAGAATAAATCTGTTCAAACACAGGGAGTACATCGTAAAAAACAGAATTGTTATTACTATGTTTGGCTTCTTTCACTTTTCTGAAAAAGCTGATGTTAAAAGAGAGGATCACCCTGAGTCAGCCAACCAGGGCACAGCTCTGTCTTACATGTGCAGAACATAACATGTTTTCCAATGAGGTGAGGACTGAAACAAAAAGTAAGCTTCCCCAGTGGATCCATTCATGGTTCATGTCTCTGCTTCACTCATGCACAGTAACATGCACATAGTTTCTACATAAAAAGTTTCACTGATGATGACTAACCCTTAGCTACTGGAGATGATGATGTTGGCTTGGTTTACATCATGTGATGTTAAATATATATTTGCGTCTCTTTCAAGACTCCCTGCCATCAAGAGTGTATACAGGGCTGTTGGTCGATATTCGATATTCACATACTGTTTATGTAGTCATTTGGATCTTGTATTTCCACGGGGAAAACAAAACGTAAGAAATAGCGTAACCTGAATAGGCATGACCCACCTGAGCTCGCTGGGGGTCTCGCTTTTGGGCAGCAGCTCCGCGTTGCTATGGTATCCCGTCAAAACCACTCCCTGGGTCTGCGCCTGCTGCCTGTTCATGGCTCCTTCGGCGTCACGTATCGACGACTCCGGTTATTCCGTGCGTAAACGCAACACAAAAAAACTCACCAAAACAGGGTGCCTTTCCTGCCGGGATCATTGACTTGTAAATACTATGTATAAGGAACTTCCCATTGCTTCCTGCATGATTCGTGGTTCAAAGTATTATAAAAGGCGTAATGTAGTCCAGGGGTGAGCCAAATTTGAATCATTCAGAAGTAAAGCTCATAGTTTCCATGTGCGGTGACGCACGGCTCCTTCGCGGATGACCCGTGGAGCTGAAGTGGAGGACAGCTGGACTGGAGGGGTTTTTGTGTAAAGAGGCGAAGCAGCGACGCGATTGGACAGAAAACTGTGTAAAAGTTTTGAAAGCAGAGATGGGGTAGTGGTGCCCTCTGCTGGCGATAGGGTGTAAGTGGTTGAACTCATAATTAAACAAGTGGGAGATTATTTCCTAATAAATTGAAGACGACAATCTGTGGTCTATTTTCTTCACAGCATTTTACATTCAATTTCAATTGGACAAACACCATGCATTATGTGGGCCTACCACAGTTTTAATTAACTGTTTATCAAATATTGTAAAATTTTTGCAGAAAATCCCAGAGAATGTAAGCAGGAAAACATATTGTACTACAGCGTATAGTTCTATAAACATTTATGAATTGTGTATTAATTTTTTTCAAATGCAACTCTTGAAGTTGTGTGATCTAGATATACTTTTTAAACATATGTTTAAATCACATCATAATTGCTCTTTTGGTCTTAAATATTGCAATTCCAAAATGGTGCAGCCCTAGTGTGATTCTTTCTTTACCTTATATTCAGCGTCCGTCTCAAGTCCATTTGTTCCTTTATTGAGTCGCCTTGCGTCTGCAGAGACCAGGGATTATCACCTGCACCATCTGCCCCTGGCTCACAGACACAAGGCTGGGTCTGTAGAAAACACCAACATGTAGTTGTGTTTGAAAATTGACACACCAGGCACAGATTTCCTTTGTTTGGCCTTATTTTGGAAATTATGAATTAACACAAATAAATAAATATTAAATAAATACTTTTCCACTCACCTTTTGTGGTTTTATGAAGCAATGTGTTGTTTAAAAAAATTACTCTTTTCAAATGTTAACATCAATGAACCGCTCTGGGGAGATCTCAAACTTCATGCAACGCAACCACAAATGTACACAAACTAAAGGTTTCTTGCCAACAACAATAAAGAATACATCCACACACTAGCACCAAAGGCTTCGTCGTAGATTTGAAAGGGGTAGTGAGCTGGGGGAGGGAGACTTCTAGTCAGAGTCAGAAGATGCTTCATTTTGGCCAGAGTGCTGCTGAGGTAAGCTGGTGAAGAGCCAAGAAAAACACAAAGCACTCACAATTGTTTAAACTGAAGCCTAAATGCATGACCGAAGTGCACAGAAATGTGTTGAAGTGGGCCCCGAGAAGCCCTCGTAAAAGGATTAAACATTGACAAACTGTTCTGGAGCATTTGATGGCATAAAGAAAAAGAAGAATGATGTTATGTGATACTTTGAAACAGCATCTGAAGACATCAGCGATGGATTTAAAGTGCACAGATGTTACAAATGGACGATGACCTCAAGCCTAATTCCAAACTCAAGGTTCACCGTCAGTACACTTTCTCTTAAACATTATCTTTCAACTCTTTTATTTGATTCCACAATTATTGTTAGTTACATTTACAACATAATTTTTCAATATATCATAGCATCTGGATGAAAAAAAAAGAAAAAATCAGGTGAGCCCTATGCTACGTCATATACAGTAAAACACATATTAACATGACATGGTAAGAAAGAATATTAACAAAAAACTCTTTTGTATTTTACACAAATTATGTATGTAAGACATCTCAAAGGTCTTTCCATGTGTATGATTAGTGTAGTTTAGTTTATTGTTTATAAAACAGGGACAATGTACAAAACCATTAGTCTTTAGAAAAGTAGAGATGATTTCCACCAGATTCCATCTGAGGTCCCTGGGCTGGTGAACACGCAGATAAACACAACACAATAATAACAACAAACTGTAAAATACATTAAAAGTTTTTATTTATTTTTTTCTAATATTGCATAGGCAACAATAAACAAATACTATTTTATGTAATTTAATGTTCATTAATGTTGACACGATTGACCATCTGTAATGTGAGGAACAATCATAGCATTGGAATAGGTGAACGGAGTCTCAGCTGTCAGACTGTTCCCCATATGTCTTAAAGATGATAGAATATATTCTATTGATTTATAAATGCCAAGGTTTTGTCCAAGTAGACCCCCAAGTATTTTGTCTCTGTAACATTTTTAGAGCCACTCTATTGACATACAGTACAGACCAAAAGTTTGGACACACCTCATTCAAATAGTTTTTTATTTTCATGAATATGAAAATTATAGATTCACGCTGAAGGCCTCAAAACTATGAATTAACTCAAGTGGAATTATGTACGTACTAGAAAAAAAGTATGAAACAACTGAAAATATATCTTATTTTCTAAGTTCTTCAAAGTAGGACCTTTAGCTCTGATCACTGCTTCGCACACTCTTGGTAGTGACCTGAAATGTTCTCCCCGAGATGCTTAGCACTTGTTGGCCCTTTCGCCTTCACTCTGTGGTCCAGCCCCAAAACCATCTGGATTGGGTTCAGGTCCGGTGACTGCGGAGGCCGGGTAATCTGGCCCAGCACCCCACCACTCTCCTCATTGGTCAAACAGCCCTTACACAGCCTGGGTGTGAATCTACAGTCAATAGTCATGGAAAGAAAGGACACTCATTGAATGAAAAAGTGTGTCCAAACTTTTGGTATGTACTGTAGATGTTAGGCATCTTTTTGGTATTGTTTGTCTTGTGAAAGAACATGCTACATGTTTTATTTGTGTTTAAAGCTAGGCAAAAGAATTGGAGCCAAATTCATATTTGGTCCATTGCAAGAGACAACTTTGGGGCCACTTGCTGTGTGAAGAATGCAGCATCATCTGCATAATGTCCAGATCTTTGCACAAATCCGGAAGTTGATAAATATAAATGCTGAACAACAAGGCCCCAGGATGGACCCTTGTGGCACTCCTATTGCTCAAGGTTCAAAGGAGAACATTAAATTATCTATTCTCACACACTGCCTCCGATCTGTAAGGTATGATTGAACCACTGCAGTCCTTCTGTGGACAGAATACACTGAGCAAGTCTGGAGAGGAGGACAGAGTGGTTTACCGTATGGAAGGCAATTTGTAGGTCTAAAAACGTGGCCCCCACTATACCCCCCTTGCCCAGACCCGCACTAATATTCTCTGTCAAGTAACAACAGGCAGTATCAGTCGAGTGCAGGTAGTGGCCAACAGATGGCGCTGTTGACCGATGCTTTCCATGATTCTTTTACCCAGCCTTTGGAAGACGGGATGGATGCTTTTGCTTTCACTTCACAGTTATTGTATTGTGTTAACTTTCAGTAAACAATTCCAAATAAAATCTGCAAAATGTGCAAAAGTTCAAGATGTACTCTAGAATTCATGATTTGCTAGAAAATTCTATTGGTAATTAATGTTGGATGTACATTGAACTCTAAATAAATAAACACTCAACTCAACCTTTCGAAAGGCATTGTACATTGATGTGAAAACTAGAAAACTGAGAACACAGAACAAGTAACATGGACTTAATTATTTAGTTCCATTCTTGTGGTTTAGAAGGTCTCCAGCTTTAGTAAAAAACCTACTCGGCCTGAATAATTATTTATCATGTTTTTTTTGTTTGTTGCTTAGCCCAGGTCAATTATTGTAGAGGGCTATTGTCCTTTAAGGGTTTCAGATTATTATGTTTATCTAATTCAACATGTTTTTCACCCTAAAGACATGAGCGAAGAATCTCACTTGAACCGTCATTTGCGTTCAAATCATACTTCTAGGTTTTTAACAGAAGTGAGCGAGTTATTATGATATTTTTGGATACTCCTCATTGTTTTTGTGCAGTGTTGTGTCGACTAAGGCCGCGTTCAAACCGGACCATGCGTTGCGTCTGCTTTCTCAACCTTTCCTCGGGTCGTTCGTGCAGCGACCAATCAGAAAGCCGCAAAGTGGTCACGGGGACATTAGCGGTCTGAACGAGCAGACTGAAAACACTCGTAAACAGCCAAAACAAGAGCTACCTCAGGACTAAACCAGGGTTGACAATGGGGGACATAGTGCTTGTTAACATGTGAGTTCTCTTGCTCCCGTAACTTTATGCAACTGCTTCGAGTGTGTTCGCCGATGCGTAAATACCATTTAATATTAAAATAAACTTATTACGCACCTCCGTGAACATATACTACTGTTATATAAAGTCCGTGGAAGGTCTCTGGCACAGACACTCTGGAAAGCTGCATTATTGGAGAAGATCTTTACACAAGAAGCCGCTAGCATAACTCTGTAAGAATCAAACCCGCCGGCTACTTCCAACACTTCTGACGCGCACCAGGACTTCTGGTCTGAAGACCCCTGCGTCTGAAAACTAGAGAATGTGCGTTTCAGCGTTGGCGGTCTGAAAGCACCATAACGCTTTTGTTTACTGCACTGCAGGGAGAAGAGGGCCTGCATCGCCGCTTGCAACGTTAATTCATGTTGTTATGTATGAGCTCTCCAAGTATCTCCAAGTCATTTCAATAAAGTTTAATGTATCACAGATTTACTTCCTTCTGGCATCAAGAGGGATTTACCTAGTAGAAAACATTTCCTTCAGATAAAAACCCTTTTTTTCCCGCAACTTCCTTAAACTTTGAACATTCAAATACTTCCTTCACACGAATGTACTCATGATACCTGTATATTTGTACTTGGAATGAATCTATTAGATTATCTTTCCCCACTGTGGGACGAATAAAGGATTTCTTAATCTTATCTGTTGTGAAAGAGATTTTCTCTCCTTTTCTTTGAGTCATTGTGTGTGTCAATATAAAGTGTTGAGTAGTTTTAGATATTGAATAACACCGTTGCAAATTTGACTGACATACTGTAAGTATAAATGTGGATGAATATGTATAGTGGAGTAACAGATGAGTGGTAAGGAGGGGGTTTAACTCACTTTCTCTAACTATAATCTTGAATAACCAATAACCACAACCTTTAACATGAAGCAATGAAACCCCAGGTGTAATGGTGCTTTCAGACCGAAAACGCTGAAACGCAGCAGCCCAGCTTACCTTTGTGGTCCATGAGCCAAGACCCCAGTGTTGGACCCTCAAAGCCACATATTCAATTATTCCCCTTAATCTATACTCTTCATTTTTTTTGTTTTCTGAAGTTGGTTGAGCCGCTTCGGCCTTCGGAAGCAATGGTAGTGAATGCTTCAGCTTCAATCCATGCTGAAGTGGACTTAGTAGTTGTCAAAAACAGCATGTATGAAGGTTCAGAAAACACCTGATGGAAGTTGGTTGTGTCTTCATGGATAATTCCCAGGACTGTCCCAGCTCATTAAAAACATTTAGAAATCAAGAGTCTTAATAGTTTGGTCATCTTTTATTTCTGATTATTTGTAAAGATTAAGTCCCCTTTGCGCTCAGTTTTAGGTATATACAAAATTAAAGACAGCCAATAATTTGAGTGGTTGGGTGTAGAGATGGCCTGTAGGGGTCACTGTTTCACTCCTGGACATGACTGGACCTCTCCCACAGTGACTTTAATGAAGTGACTCACTATTACACAGCAGCTCTCCACCAAAGAGAAGAATGGAGACGCTTGAAGAAGTTTCCTGCATACATTAAAATGAGACTCAAGCCAAAAACCCAACATACTTACACAATGACCGGCACAGTCAGAACATTTACGAATATACAAGTTAAAACCACACAAGGAACAATACTTGGACAGCCAACAACTCAGGTCCGTGGGCCAAATCCAGCTTGCAAGACCATTTTTTGTGGCCCCTGTGATGATTTTTAATATTCATTATTTCAGTGACTTGCATCATTGGTAGCAGCAAAGTGATTCCATCATGGTAATGGGACACTGTGTCATGTAAAGCTTCATTTTAAAGCTTTTTTTGTTTTAGGAAAACAACCAAATAGTTGATTTTGTTCTAACATTTAAATAGAAGTTAGTATGAATCTTAATTTACATATTTATTATGATATTTGGCAGAAAAATATATCCAAAGTCATGTCAAATAAAGTTAATTCATCTTTTGTCACTACAAAATGATGTAAAAAAAAAATAAAAAATAAAAAAAAGACAATACTTTGTGCCCCAATCAGCTCATAATGTTTTTAAACTTGGCCCTCGACCAAAATGAGTTTGACACCAGACCATAAACAAACTCCGCCTCTCAGAACGTGTCTGAGCATGTCCCACAGGAGTTCAGAGTCAGAGGAGGATGTTTACTTTTCACTTTGTTACATCAGTCTTTCACTTGTGTTTCACAAGTCACATGTGCTCGGCTGACGACACTAGAAGAAACACCGTTATGACAAAGCACAAAATCACAAAATCACACAGACACAGGTTCAAGTTGGGGCACCTGCTTTTCAAACAGGGACCACAGGGACCAGAACTCTGTCGTCGTGGTTTATTTTCACCAATCTCTATAGATTTTTCTAAACAAAATGAGTGAAGTTGTTTGTTGGTTTGGAATAAACCAAAACTGGACCAAAGATAAAGAAGTATTGTCATGAAGAAGGGTCAGAGGTTTCTTTATTCAAATTTGAACTATGACTTATTGAGTTTTGTGTCATATTTTGGATTCATTTGTGAATGTTAGCTTTAAAATGATGTATAACGTAGGTAGCACAAGGTGTGCTGCAAGTTTGTAATAATCACTGAAAATCCTTTTGGGAGCCACATTTTGACAAACCTTCATCATTTGTGGATCATTTGACACTTTGTAAGTAAAGTGATTTCACCGAGGTCAGTGTTGTTGATTATTATTGTTATGTCTATTCAATTAAGTTCTCCAAACAAGAGAACAACTCATGAGAACAAATGAATCATATTTTTCATTTCATATATGCAAACGTTTAAAAACAAACTTAATTAATTTCAGTGCAGCTAAATATTTTATAACGATTTACTAACAACTAGGAGTTAATGTGCAAATATTGTGACGATCATGTACTAGAAAAATCCTTAAACACATTTAAATCAATTAAAATGCATGCACGAACTGAATGAGGCTGTTCTGTATGCTTTGAAATACGGACACATTTTCACTGATTTTGAAATTAAGATAACATAATATGTGGAAAATATTTTATTACAATACAGTGTTAATATAAATCGTTGAACAATTTACTTTCAGTTTAATTAAGACAACAATACTGTGAAAAATATTAACTTAGGAGATCAAATTAAATAAAGATAAATAGATAAAAGTTAATTGAAACTTCAGTAAAATGCATATTATCTTGAAAAAAACAGTACACATCAAATACATACATCAATTAATAAAGAAAGTAAAGCAAACAGTTCAATAGTAACTCCATTGTGCAGTTTTGCATGGTATAATATTACTAGTAAATTCCAAACTAAGTGGTTAAGGTTATAAAGTTATCAACGGCTGCATAACGGAGTGAGTTTCATTGTGCAAGAAACTGAAGGTGCAATGTAGCTAGCTCGTGTTAGCAATGGTATAGGATTTAGTGAAAAATCGTATATTATAGTTTTTGATGTTTATAATTAAGATATAATACAAAAACACAAGAATTTTGACCTAAAATCTCAAGAGTGCTTCTTCCTTACAAACTTAGCAACACAGGCTGGTGTGTCGAAAAAACGCAGCCTTTAACCCGCCTTGTGGCCTGGTCTTTTCTGTTGAAGCGTGTCCAGTGCGAACCTACTATAGCAGTAATTTCAACAGCAATAAAACCCAACTGTTTTATAGGCCTTTAACGGGAAAAACATACAAAAAAGGCATAAAAGCAGCGTAAAAAGCTGTGTAACAAGAGGGAATCTTTGACCGTTTAGAAATCTGTCCAAAAATATATATGGCTTTGGTTGGACGCTAACAACTTAAAAACAAAATAATTAACGAAAGACATGCGTTTATATCTTTATTTGGGTCATCCATTGTGTATTTTGACCTAATTGCGCTTAATCATATTGTGTGTCAAATAAGTGTAAGTCTATGTTTTAAAACCCTAACCATGGAACACTTTTAAGCATCCAAAGTATTAACCATTTGTTCACAACATTTTACTTTTCTTGTTTGGTACCCCAGCTTGAAAACTGTCTTGTGCAGTAGTGTAATAAGTACACTGTTTGACGTCATACTTATTTGTCTATCATTATTGTCTACTATGAAAGCGACAATTCAATCACCAACTTACACAAAAACTCATTGAACACATGCAGGCAGTGACAAAATTGCGTTATGTATTTAGAAGCCACAATATTGCCATTTTAGAACATACATCATTTTGCATGTTTTAAGTGCTGTCACGGGTTAAAGTCCACAAAAAGGTCCGACATATCGATAATAAATATACATTCTGAGGCGTTTTAGCAGCACACAATACAGGACAATTTCAACAATCATAGAAAAACAAGATGGATACAGTAAGAATGCTATACATCAGAAAATCCTTTACAGTTTTTGGCTTCCATGTCTGAGGCCATTTTAGTGAATAACAAGTTTCCAAAGACTAGCTTTTCAACCTTTTTAACAGTGGGCTACTTCCAGCGTAGATCCTGAGAGGTTAGCAGCAGAGAAATGTCATGAAAACCTAATATTGTAAGAAAAAGCGAAAACTGTCCATAAATGAGTTAACTAGATTAGACTTGAAATGAATGAGTTGCACTGAAGAAAATACATTGCAATCATAGTCAATTCAAACCATTTTCAAGTGATGGGAAATTGGAAAAGCCACTAAAAAATTATGTCATAAAAAATATTAGTCATATGGTTTTTCATATACATTTGAAAGAAAAATAGCTTTAATCATAATTATATTAAGGTGAAACTAATTTATATTACATTAATAACAGTTGTTGTAATGTCTAAAACTTAATACATTTGTTTGGTGGTTACGTTTACGACAAATTTGACCTAATAATAATGCACATATTTGTTATTTATAATTTCATGTTTTAAACGTTTGGCTTCCCCCATCACTTTCCATTAATTCATGTTGGACTGGTCAATACTGGTTATAAATACTAAAACTAAATCCCTTTGGAGTAAAATGCATAGAAATCAGTAAATAAAAAATGTCAGGTTTGTTCCTTGGCCTTGACTAAAATAAAAATACAGGCTTTTTAGTTCATACAATTGATCTACCGGTTCACATTTGTCCAATTTTGTCCAATCAGCAGCTTGGGTTTTTGAGGGAGAACACTGCAAAAATGAGTCTTTACGGGACATACAAAATTGATTATTTCAGTAGTTTTATATTGATTAAGATGGATGTATTCACTACTTCATCCATATTCATGCTTCAACCTTTTTGCAGTGTTTTCCGCTCCTTTGGTTTGGCAGGTGGGCGGGACATACTGGAGATTGGCAGGTGTCACTCTTGTTGGTTTCTAGCAGCTTAGTGGGGACAAAAATGTGTTTAAAGTCCAAAAAATGTTTTTTTGTTGCGTTCCTTCCAAGTTCATAGATGCCCGGAGCAGCGCACGTGCTCCAACGACAGCACCTCAGAGTCTATCGTGGCCGTAGAGTCCGCAGCAGCAGCAGTAGCGGTGGTAAAAGTGTTTGACGTGACTGAAGGATTAGCCGACATGCTGGAGGTAATGTTCTGCAGTTGTAGCGTGCTCTCTTTGATGTGCTGAATGAACAGGTTGCGCTCGTCCTCCGGGGTGCAGCCGTTTTGCGCTCGCACGATGCATGTGGGACGGTGCAGGTTCAACATGTAGACCAGCTGCTGCTTCTGCTGCTTCAGCTCCTCGATCTGAGATTTGAGGTCTGCGTTCACGGTTTCCAGCTTCTCAGACTCCTGTGGAAGAGGGGGCAGACAGAGGGTGAGCGGGCTGGTTTGGACCACAAATCTCATCACGTGCCAATCAAAATAGCAATTAGAAAATCGCTAAGACGTTATGAGCACAACATTATGTTAATCAGTCTTAAAGCCGCTTTATAGATCTTCATCTTAACTGTAAAGAAATGCACACCATTCCTGTATTAGCTTTTCAGTTTCTTCCTGAGCAGTTTATCTACATATTAAGAATAATCCAAACACTCCAGCGCCAAAAGAACCCAATTTAACGGATTTATCTATTTGATAGGGACTAGTGTACACAATCAACATGTGAAACACTACGACTATCAACTAACGAACATAAGGCTGATATTTGAACCATTTATTGTAATTAATGTGAATAATGATCACTGACTGTGTGCACTATTCACACAGTGCCTAAAAGTGCATTGCGGTCACTGAGGACAAGTGTGGAGGCTCCTGGTTAGACAGGATTCAGCTCCTATGACGTTGGTGAACAGTGCTTTGAGCGTACCTGCTGAAGAGTCTCTGTCTTCTCCTTTTTCTTGTTACGACATTTAGCTGCAGCGATTTTATTCCTCTCTCGTCGTCTTCTCCGCCTCTCGGCTTCTGCAGGTGGGAACTACAACAGAAAACAAGAACGTTAAAACCCTATGAAAGAATCTGACAGAAGTTTGACCTCTCTCAGAAGAAGAGGCCAAATAAGACTCCATGGATGATGAGAGGGAACTCATCCCCAGGCTAAGCTACAGGCTAAGTTTGTGCACTTGTCGTACCTCTCTTTTAGCTCCGCCCCCCATGCTCTGCAGATGCTCGCTCATCCTCTCGCTGCCGGAGGACGCCTCTGAGCTGAAGTCCACGCTCAGGCCGCTTGACACTCGCCGGCTGTGGATGGTCAGACGCAGTTCTTCCTTCACCAGGGGACTGAAGCCGGTGAAGTCCTCCAGGGTGAGAGTCCCGGGAGGAGAGAGGCACGGCACCAGCGCTGAGCAACTGATGTCCGCCAGCGAGGGGCCTGGGTTCTGCAACATCATTCTGCAAAACAACACATACATACGGTCAGTCTGGAAGATCAGGCAAGTTTTTTCAAGGACAGAAAACATTACATTTAGAGGTTTCTATATGGATACAAATTAGTTAATTCTGCCATTAGAAATAATCCTTGTTTGGGGTTATCCTGCTGTATTAGACTTTCATCGAGTAACGAAAGTATTGAATATTGTATTTGAGCAATTTATTGTCTGTTAGAAGTAGTACATAAATAATTGAATTATTGTTGGTTTGTAGAGAAGATAATCTTTGTATAAAATGGCAATTAACCAAAGAGTGAGCTGTGTCACCCAGCCCCCTCCCCAACTCTACTCCGGAACTATTGGTATAAATCAGAAGCAATAAAATTCACAGTAACATTAACATTACAGCGTATTCTAACTACTCTTGAGCACTAAGTTTAACTCACAATGAGCGAAGTGATATTTACACTCTTTTGTCTTACACCACGGCACACTAATTGAAATATATTCTTTTGTAAGTATATAAGAGGAGGCTGTTTAGAGGTCAGAAGGTGTCCGCCTGCATAACTCAGATTTTGCTGAGTAACCATGAGACAGGGTTGAAATGTGATGCAACATGTGGGAATCCCTCCTACTTTACTCTTTACTATGGAGCAGGACTCACTGGTATGATACTTATGATGGATTTATACAGCATAAAGTAAAAGTACCTGAGAGTTCACATTTCACAACGTATTAATATGCTCACAACTCAACGCTATCAAACTTTTTATAGCCTAAGTATTGTGGCAAGGTTCAAAACAAACTAAAACACGAATGCTTGTTTTCATTGCGCAACACACAGCAACGCACTTTATAAGGAAAGAGGGAACTTTTATGCATGACCCATATTTTACAACGTTAATATTATATTGCCCTGTGTTCATTCGCTCTATATTGAGTGAACCTGAATTGTTGTTAAAAGTAAAAATAAATACGAATTTTAGTTATACACAAATTATGATTGTTGTTGGTCTGAAATAACATGAAGGGAGAACGAATAGAAAAAGAACAGATCTGATAATGATATTACATACACTGCCATATCATGTTTTGCAATACACATTCTACCTTGATATATATTACTAAACACGTGTAGTCGCCAAAGCTCTGGAGGGAGTCACCGGGAATCCTCCGCTTGTCACCCGGGCAACGAAGCGACAAGGGCGGCTTCCACTGCCGACTGTGCCCGCTCTTTCTGAACCAAGGCTATGGATGAACCCGCAGCTCGCAAAATACATGAATACAAATGGTCTTTTCATGTGAATCTAATGACAGCCTAAATACGCGTTTTGCAACTTTTACTTTCACAAAAATCAAATAGTCAAAATATAAACGTGTTTTAATTTCTTATTGTCGCACTGAAGAAAGTAAATACAAGTAAGTTTTACATGTATCAATTCGCAATAGATAAGTCGAGATAGATGAGATTTTGAATGGAAAAGTTTAAAGCAATTTTTCATCCGCCTTTGAGAAATTGTACTTTGGTGTTCTGATTTTTAAAGAGTCTATGCTATGCTCGTCCAACTTCCAAATTAGTATTACAATATTATAACGCATTAAAAGTCCGATCTTATAGACAGCGCGACTTCATTCATTGGACTTCATCTAACTTCGCTAAAAATATAGTGTTTTCACCGACATTTAGAGACCAAAAACACAGTAAATGTGATGAAAAAATGCACAAACATAGACATACCTGTTCGAAGTGGTTGTGGAATAAACGTGAGAGAATGAAGCGTCCAAATCGTGCGTTCAGTCTCCGTGAGTAGGTGCTCCGTGTGTGTGTGCCTTTCTAGTTGCATCACCGCGGGTTTTATAAGCACAGAGTAGGCAGGGTTTCCTCACGTCACGCAGGGAGGGGCAGGCCTGACGTCATCCTATTTTTAGCGGCGGAGGATTGTGGGATAGAGAGGGTGATGCAATGTAGCAACGCGCGGTAAACAAAGACGAGAGCGCGCCCGTTGGTGTGCGTGCGCGTGCCTGAGTCTCTCCGCAGAGTTTCTCAGCATTCCTCGTGAGTGTTTCGTGGCTCCAGGCTGTTTAAGGAGTTTAAAGAGTTCTCTACTGAAAGATTGTTTCAGAAAGATGTTTCCTCAAATGTTACAAATGAACTCTTATGGGGAATGTTTGGGTTAAAGGAGACACAGTTTAAACAAAAAAGACTGTACTAGTCATTTTAGTGAAATTTGAAAAAAAACGTTATATTTTTTGCATATTTGACCGTGACCCACTGGCTGTAAGAGAGGTCAGCATGGTGTCTTCACTCAAATAAAAACTACCACACAATTGATTCTATAGCATATAACCACTGCGGTGGAAAATAAAAGTCTAAAAGTAGAAACTTTTTTTAAAACACAAAGTTGCATAACGCCCCTTCAAAGAATAAATATGAATTGCTGTTTCTTGAGCATAATAATACTTCATGTTTTGGAATGAAAAATTATAGACAGACTTTCCACTGCTTTTGACCATGTTATAGTTATTAGTATAGTTTTTACTGTGTTATGTTTCTAAAGAGCATAATTTCACCAGATGGATTCAAAAGAATATTTTGAGGAAAAAAAATATTTATAAAAACCGGAAAATTAAACTGTGAAATGTCATAACACTTTGAAGTAACTATGGTTAAAGTTCAAACTCATCCCTATTACATTTGCACGAGCCAGTACTTTTCCCTTGTTTTGATTTTTGAAGGCCAAGCTACAGGGCACTGTGCCAGCTGCTGATTGGAGGACTGCATTCCTGTATATTACCACTTGCATTTTCTTACATCCTTGTTCGTGCTAGCTCTACCATCAACAATAAAACATGTCTTCTGTCTGAATTAAAGACACGATCCCAGACTTTGTCATCTTCTTCAAAACAAATCATCATATTTTTATCAATATAAAGGGCTGTTGATATTGGGATGGCCCTGTGCATTTCAATCAGTAAAGGGGGCCCCAGTATGCTCTTTTGGAACCTCTGAGTTACACTACATGTCAAATCCAATTATCTAAAATGCCCTAGCATTCTTTGGAACTGTGTGCCTTAGTAAAAATTCTTAATATCATGTTTGAGGACAAAATAATCCCATATAATGCCAAATACTTGACTTCCTGTTCTGATTCTCATTTCGAGTGACGGATGTGGGCAGGGATAGGTGGTAGGTGAAAACAGCCATTTAAACTTTGTGGTCAGGAGAGATGACATCACCACGGCAGGTATCAGCTGTGAGTGGTGATGTCATCCTCCCAGCATGCCTCTGTGCTCCTGCTCAGCTCTTCTAATGAGATGTAGGTTTGCTGTATTGAGGTGAGGCAATCATGAACCTTTGGACAAGAAGCCTCCCATCAAATATTTAATCAAATCCAATCACCATGACTGAATATTTTTAATGTATTTGTTGTTTTACTTCAGTTTTTGTTGAGATGGTTTATTTATAATATGATTGATGCAAAATAAGTGAAAGAGGATATGGACCATAAGCAAAAACATAAAAACACAACATTTATGGATATGTATCAACATTCATGGACTTTGGTCTCTCTCTGATCTGTGTTGGCGAATTCAACGCTTTGGTTAAGTCCTCTGAGATAACTGATTTAGGGCGATACAAGAATTCATTGAGTTGAATTGAATAAGCAGCAGAAGCGAGTTTCATGTCATGGACCATACAGCTGATGAGGAGAGACGCTGCACTATTCATGAAGGTGATGTCATGGGCGGCCATGTTGGATGACATCACCGCCCCAAACACACACAAGTTATACATAATTTGTGCTACTCAAAAGAGATCCCTGGCATGTGGAGGTTTTTGTTTTTTAATTTTGGCTACACATTTTGTTTGAATATTTTGGTATGCTATTTGACACTGTTTGACAAAGTTATGCGAAAAGGGTCCAAAACATATTGATGACGTTCAGGAACTCAGAAGAAAGAACAAGTAAAAACCATGGGTGTTTGCAGATACATAGACTACGTTAAGCATTTATGACTTTTTACTTATTAGGTTTAGGGCAATTAATGATCACTTGACATGCAAATTTTACATATTGCAACTTTAACCAAAATGGGCCAAAAGTAAGAAAGCTTCGTTATTGCAGATTTATAAATATATAGTATACAATTATAAAATATATGAGCGTTTTCTTGAGAGAAGAATATGTAACTTGTCATAGTAGGACATCTTAAACGCTATAATTGTTTATAAATACTTGAAAATCCTTACCCCCTGTACTTGAAGTGGGTTTCCCAATGGCATACCCCATCGGGAAACTCTGGGATACATGACATTGGAAAGCACGGGTCTTCTTCATTTCCAGTTTTAATTGTTGGACACCTCACGCTCTGATGCCGCCTCATCGCTGTCTGTAGCAAATCTTGTGACTTGTGGCACGCGCTGATGGAAAAACCCAAGCGTGCTGAAACTGGTGTATGAGACGACACGGAAAACAACACAATACATGCCTTCTGTGGACTGCAAATTTTCCAAGACATTACTGCTTCTTGTGCTTTGCTCATTAAAATCACTCATCATTAGTTTAAAACATGTACATTCCCAAAATGTGGAGGATTTTAGTGTTACTTTGGTGAGAAGAGCCTTTTTCCATTTTTCCAACATTGTCCTTCATCAAAAACAGACATCGAGTTGTTTTTGGCTCCATTTTTGCTATAATGTGGGGATCTCTGGCACAAATGGTCTAAAAGCTCCTGTCTCAAACCCGGTAATCTATTGAAGTTTTCACACCTGAGAATATTGCTGAAACATGTCTTACATTTTGCAGAATATTTGTTGAGCTGTTTTGTCCTCCTGTGGACTCACCACCTGCAGAGGATCAGTGAGGGGCCTGACCCAGAAATTGATTAAGGGGTAGAAAATGGATGGATGGAGGATAATTCATTAATTCTTTTAGAACTCATATTTTATTATTATTCATAGATGGTGAGTTTTCATACATTTGATAGTGATTGCTACTGTAAAAACATATTTAAAGATGATCTATCTGCTTGATGAAAGACCAAGGCTGTGTTGGGTGACGGAGCAGCCTTACTTTGTGGTCCACCCTCTGAGGACATATTTTAAAGATAGAGAATCATCACTTTTGTACTCGGACTTCCTCTATGTGTAGTAACTTCTGCATGTCCTCCTACACTTTGTTTTACTTTCAGAATGACTTAAACGGTCAGTGTCAGGAATTGCTCATGCTTCATGACATCACGGCCCTTCAACCCACACATTATGAGATTGTGAGGTTTTTGAGGTTTAGAGAAAGTTCATCTAATGTTCAAATGTAGTTTCATTTTTTTCAACAACTTTGTGTTAATATAGCAATATCATCAAGTTGTTTATTTCTAAGCTTTTTTTTTTTTTTTTTAAAGGCTAATGGCTAAATATTTTGTTCATCCATATTCTTCAGTTTTCTCTACTTCATCTGAGGGAATCCCAGGCCAGCTTTGTTCCTCCAGTGGTTGGGGTTGCCCAGTGGGACCAGTTCAATCATCCCAGTGCAGGTTGGAGGTCCTGATATGCAAAAGCCAACAAAACAACACCATCTGCAAACAGCAGATTATGTCTATAAAAACATTCAACAAAAGCAGTCAAGGTAGCCCTCAGGTTGGACAGTATGCACTGGGAACAGGACCCCGATACAAAGAGCCGACTGCCCTCAGTAAAGACGGCCATAAGTTATCCAGATCCACAAAGCACATGTGGACTCAGGCAAACTCCCAAGGTCCTTAGCACTCAGGAGGTTCCACTGAATCGGTTCAGATTCCCCGCTGCAATTCCTTGGAAAAAATTGTTCAGAGATAAAGCTTCTCTAGTCATAATGAAAGTGCAGCAGATAACACTCTTTATTTGTATAGTTTTAACAGTTACACATTGTGCCGTAAAGCGATGTCTCAGGGAAACATCATAAATATAATAGTTAATGATCGACAGGCCGTGTTCCCCTCACACTGATAAGACTTATCTCATCTCAGTGGAAAGAAACACATTTTGAAATTCACTGGAAATGATTCCATGATTCCATGTGGGTTACATTGACTTGTTTTTGATCCTACTGGTGTAAAGTCACTACATTTACAACACACAGCTCTGTCAGCAGTGGATGTTCAAGACACAAACACGGAGATGATCTGACACTGACCACAGACTGTGAATAGATACTGTAGTGTTGGAAGTAACGCATTACAAAAGTAATGTAAATACTGTAATCTTTTTTTTTTTTACTGTAACATGTAATATAAGGCATTCCAAATGTTTAAATATTTTGCCACCCCAGGGAAATTCTCATGGTTTTAGGAGTTGAAGAAAACGTACTTCCTTCGCAGGCAACATTTAGCAACCGTCTGCCTCTGCAGCGTAAAGCTAACATCGTCAGAGCCAATGACATAAGAAATTGGCTCCAGCCACGTACTATAGCGTTTCTTTTTGCAGGTTTGATCCCAAAACCCTTGTCTAAACACAGAATTAAAAGTTACAACCAAATCACCACTTTGGCCTTTTTGTGTAAACCTGGACTAATATAGAGAATGTCTAGAGTATGCATTAATGATCTATGCATGTCATGAATTATTTGATCAAGTGTAAAATGTGGTCTTTATCACAATTATTGGCATGATCTCTTCACAGTAGCTGTCCCTAGTGTGATGTCATCTCAGTGGGCTGTCAGCGCGTCGACTGTAAAAATAGCGCTCGCGCTAACGTCGGCGCTTCCGTGTGCCACCAAAATACCCAGCTGAGCTCACGGTTAGCTTCAGCCGTCCTAGCACCGGGCTCATTGCACTATTATTAGGCTGAGTTCATTGTGACCCACTCAACTTTTCAACACTATGACGAGACAGTGTTATAGACTTACAATCAAACATTAAAGCTGCAGTACTTAACTGTGTGTAATGTATGTAGTTTGTCTCATCTGGAGTCTTGTAAAATGTTGGGAAAAAGAATTACACCACGAGATATCTTCATCTGATTAGAAAATATGTTATATTCTGTGAAACAGTGAGGGTTGTCCTCACTGTTTTACTTCTCTGTCTGAAAAATCTGATAGAAATCTGAAATCAAACCATTTCCACTTGCCTTGCTTGGCTCTATTCTACTTCACTTGGTTCTACTCTACCTCAATTGGGAGCGTTTCCACAGCCCTGTTTACTTGGCCCTGGTTCTAACCAGGCTGAGATGGTTCTCAAGCGTTCCAACTGAAATTGGCCAGAGTGGAGCTGAAAGCCGAGGTATAGATTGCTTGGATGTAGTACCATATTCTAAAGCATATCTCTTTCTCTCTTTCTTCTGGCAATAAGAGAGATAGCGAACCGAGTAGAGTAGGGCCAAGTGGGGACGGTGGAAACAGGGCTACAGTTACACTGTTGTGGTTTGACCCAATTTTTTACAACGCACAAGTTGTGTTGTATTCTGTTGCTGTTTGTTTGTTTGTTTGTCTGTGATAGTATGAGAGTATCCGGCACAAACATGTCCCCCCGCCCCTTCTGGTAACTGCCTCTATCTTAACCCTGTTGCATTGATTTCTACTTGCAGTTTTCCTCTGAATAAGTTTTGCCACATAGCAGTGTTGGCAGGACGTAATGTTTGATGTTAAGAAAGTTCAAAAAATAACATATTAAGCCCTTTGTTTGTTGGTCGACATGAGATATTGAATGTGGAAGCCAGTATTACATTATTTTTTACATATTATTATATACATGTTACTTAATATATTTCATACATGACAATCTAATCCTGACATGCCGAAGTAAATATTTTCAAGATCAAGTTTTAAGGGACATGAAATGCTGATTATTCTTGTTTAGTTTAGTCTCGTTTCTCCTGGTCAGTGCATATACTGTACCTGGAACATAATGCTGTTTACTCAAAGTGAAACTGTGTGAACTGTTTGACCTCTTATGAAAAAAAGCATGTTCTTTGAATCAAAAGTGCAACGGCTGGTTCTCGTTATGACTTCTGCTCCTTTGACACGAGAAAAAGAAAGTGACAATTTCATCAGAGAGCAGAGGACCAAATATGGTTGTGATGATTGGGTTCCTAAGGCGTGGTTAAAATGTTAAGAAAAATACAGAATCAGCTTAAATCAAGGGTGAAATGAGGGAGAAAATGTGTCAGTTGATGAAGTTTCCTGACTCACAAACTACAAAAAACCTAAACTCAAAATCCACGAACTAGTTCCTAAGACGAGGAAACAAAAGAAGGGAAAAAAAGAAGGTCAGAGGCACAACTGATTATAAAATAAAAATCCTTTAATTACTTTACGTTTCGAATACTTAGGTCCTTTTAGTATTAAGCTTTTTGCATTTTGGATCCTGATCAGGAAGCCGGTCAGACCTGGCAGACCCAAGCGTGTAGTGAGGGTCAGCTGGGAACGTCTCGCTGAGCCCCCTGTCAGACGGACTTTCAACTCTCACCTCCGGGAGAGCTTCTCCCAGGTCCCGGCGGAGGAGGGGGACATTGAGTCTGAGTGGACCATGTTTTCTTCCTCTATCGCCGATGCGGCGGCTCGTAGCTGTGGCCGCAAGGTCTCTGGTGCTGGTCCCGGTGGCAACCCCCGAACCCGGTGGTGGACACCGGCAGTAAGGGATGCCGTCAGGCTGAAGAAGGAGTCCTATCGAGCCATGATGGTTCGTGGGACTCCTGAGGCAGCTGTCCAGTACCGGCAGGCCAAGCGTGCCGCAGCCCGGTCTGTTGCAGAGGCAAAAACCCGGGACTGGGAGGAGTTCGGAGAGTCCATGGAGCATGACTATCGGTCGGCCTCGAAGAGATTCTAGCAAACCATCCGGCGCCTCAGGAGGGGGAAGCAGTTCTTTGCCAACACCGTGTACGGTGCGGGTGGAGAGCTGCTGACCGCGACTGGGGATATTGTCGGGCGGTGGAAGGAATACTTCGAGGTTCTCCTCAATCCCCCCGCCACGTCCTCTGTCCTGGAGGCAGAGGCTGAGGATGTTGGGGCGGATACATCCATCTCCCTGGCCGAGGTCACCAAGGTGGTTGGCAGCCTCCATGGTGGCAAGGCTCCGGGTGTGGATGAGATCCGTCCTGATTATCTAAAGTCTCTGGATGTTGTAGGACTGTCTTGGCTGACACGTCTCTGCAACATCGCGTGGCGATCGGGGACGGTACCAATGGAGTGGCAGACCGGGGTGGTGGTCCCTCTCTACAAGAAGGGGGATCGGAGGGTGTGTTCCAATTATCGTGGGATCACACTCCTCAGCCTCCCCGGTAAGGTCTACTCCAAGGTACTGGAGAGGAGGCTACGGCCAATGGTCGAATCTCGGATTCAAGAGGAGCAGTGTGGTTTTTGTCCCGGCTGTGGAACACTGGACCAGCTCTACACTCTCCATCGGATACTCGAGGGTTCATAGGAGTTCGCCCAACCTGTCCACATGTGCTTTGTGGATTTGGAGAAGGCGTTCGACCGTGTTCCCCGGGGTGTCCTTTGGGGGGTTCTCTGGGAGTACGGGGTCCGGGGTCCTCTACTGAGGGGCGTCCGGTCCCTGTATGACCGGAGCCAGAGCTGTGTTCGCATCGCCGGCAGTAAGTCAGACCTGTTCCCGGTGCATGTTGGCCTCTGCCAAGGCTGCCCTTTGTCACCGGTTCTGTTCACTGTATTTTTGTACAGAATTTCTAGGCGCAGCCAGGGGTCTGAGGGGGTCCGGTTCGGAGACCACAGGATTTAATCCCTGCTGTTTGCGGACGATGTTGTCCTGCTGGCTCCAACGAACCAGGACCTGCAACATGCACTGGGACGGTTTGCAGCCGAGTGTGAAGCGGTTGGGATAAGAATCAGCACCTCCAAATCCAAGGCCATGGTGCTCGACCGGAAAAAGGTGCCTTGCCCTTTCATCAAGTGGAGGAGTTCAAGTATCTCGGGGTCTTGTTCACGAGTGAGGGAAGGATGGAGCGTGAGATTTACAGGCGGATCGGTGCAGCGTGCGCAGTGATGCGGTCGCTGTATCGGACCGTCGTGGTGAAGAGGGAGCTGAGCCGAAAGGCAAAGCTCTCGATTTACCGGTCAATCTTTGTTCCCTCCCTCACCTATGGTCATGAGCTTTGGGTAATGACCGAAAGAACGAGATCGCGGATACAAGCGGTCGAAATGAGCTTCCTCCGCAGAGTGGCTGGGCGCTCCCTTAGAGATAGGGTGAGGAGCTCAGTCACACAGGAGGAGCTCGGAGTAGAGCCGCTGCTCGTTCACGTCATGAGTGGATAGCACTCTCGCCTCTCAGCAAGAAGGTCCTGGGTTCGAATCCCGGTTGGACCAGGGCCTTTCTGAGTGGAGTTTGCATGTTCTCCCCGTGTCTGCATAGGTTTCCTCCGGGTGCTCCGGTTTCCCCTATCACTAAAAATATGTACAATAGGTCTGGCATGTGCCTCCTGTACTGGCCCCACTCCCAAAAATAACAATTGTAAACCGCTTTGAGACTACGATGTGCAGTGAAAAGGCGGTATATAAATAAAAGATTACTTACTTACTTACGTCGAGAGGAACCAGTTGAGGTGGCTCGGGCATCTGGTCAGGATGCCTCCCGGACACCTCCCTGGGGAGGTGTTTCGGGCACGTCTCACCGGGACGAGGCCCCGGGGAAGACCCAGGACACGCTGGAGGGACTATGTCTCTCAGCTGGCCTGGGAACGCCTTGGGATCCCCCCGGATGAGCTGGTGGAAGTGTGTGTGGATAGGGAAGTCTGGGCGTCTCTGCTTAGACTGCTGCCCCCGCGACCCGGCAACGGATGAAGCGGAAGAAAATGGATGCATGGATGGATCCTGATGAGCACCTACCCCACCCACAGCAGCGCTCACTCTCCCTCTCCACTGTTTTGTTCTCTCAGTAATCTTTTGGCCTTACTTTTCTTTCAGACAGAGAAGTAAAAAAGAGAGGGCCACTTTCACTCAGTCTATCAGCTCTCAGCCTGAAGCATCATTCTAGTGTCGTTTATTTGTTTGCTGCATTATACTTTGACAAAACTCTTTTTTTTTTTGGACAAACAACATGTGTTCTTTATGGAAAAAAAGTAAGGTTTACACATTATTTTCCACCAAAAAAAACAAAAATGTATCTGGGTGTATTATATGTACAGTATGAGAATGGGTACTCATGCCCTTACTAAGCTGTCCGGAGAGTACACAGGGTCTGGAGCTACCACCTTAAGTCATCTTCATGTTCATCCAAATATTTTATTTTCAAGCATGAGTTCTCATTCTAAAACATGAAATGTCAAAGTAAATGCAGCCACTATCATGTTTAGGAACAAGATAGACTTTTCTCTTTCAAAATTGTTCTGAACAAATTGTTTAGTCTGCATTGTAAACTTCCTGACATTCTCACACCAGCTCTTGCCGGAAACTTAATTCACCGACGTAAAACAATAAGACTGTATAATTATCTGTAAATGCATCGCTATGGGAACAGGTCAGGCGTTTTATGTGAAGTGATGGTTGGTTGCTGTCGGTAACGGGAGGATGCGGTTTCCCGGACGACGCCTGATGTTCCGAGCTGGAGAAATGAAGCATCACAGGGTGAGGAGACACGCTTCCCGGAAAAACCATTACGTCATTTACACGGCCGGGAGGAGGAGCCAAAACATCAGCTGAGACCAGCCATATATGGAGCTGTACGGGCTAGAGAGAGCAGAATGGTGGCGGCCATCTTGTGTGTTCATTAGAGCTTAGATCACATTAGAAATAATACCAGCAAAAATATAACTATATCATAGAAGTAGAAGAAGTATTGTGTATGTGTGCGTTTATGTTAATGTGTAGCGGTTTGTACATTTATGTAGTTGTACGTGTAGATGTATGTGTTTGTGTTTACAGTATGTACAGTATGTATGTATGATTGATTGATCCTACACTTGTATACATTTCATTTCATTTGACGGCCTCTCCATCAATTATTGAAAATACCAATAATTTAAGTACAGAGTAATATAGGAATATAAAAAGAATAAAAGGAAAATAATCTTGTACACATTTGAGAATGTGAAATAATTTCTGAAGTAGAACATAAATGGGTAAACTGGAGACATTCTAGCAATTACGATATAGTCATAATTTTAAATAAGATGCATAAAATCCTTCTTCTCTTAGCTTTTATCCACATTCTAGTAGTTTTCCCACTCACGCACTCACAGTTGCTTTCTTTCAGCCCCTGAGAAGAATGACATCACCTGGTTATGATCCGACCCCCACTGCTTCATTAAATCCTGTCTAATCTTTGCCCCAAATCCTTGATCCTGGTTCAGTTCAAACCCTCCCCCCAACACGATGACATCACCTCTGCACGGGACAGTAGGATACTTTTATGAACCTCCTTTTTACAATAATTACAGCTTCAAGTCTTTTGGGGTCTCCATAAGCTTTGAACATCTACAGACTGTTTTTCTTTATTCCCCTATTCTTCTTTGCAAGACAACTCAAGCTCCATAGTATGAGATGAAGACCGTTTGTCAAAAGGATATAGGTCTGAAATATGTCTGGAGCATTTTAACATGTGAATATGTTTGCATTGTATAAAAAGTTGTCAGGTTTAAGGAGATTGTCTTGACAGAAAGTAAACATCCACCTCAGTCTGAAGACTTTTATTCCAAGATTGTCCAATGTTTTGCTCTATCCACCTTTTCATCAACTTACAGTACTTCTGGTCACTTTTTTTTCAATTCAGATAAACTTAAACAGAAAGATACAGAACGATACAAACAAAATGCACTTCACCTATATCTGGTAGCAAAATCCTATTTATGTGATCTGTATATTTAAAATCAAACAAAGATTTCTCATCCTTTTGGTGGATCCCCTTGCTCAGGGATGGACTCAATGTATTTTGTGCAGGTAAAACAATACATTTTGGTTAATTAAAGCAAAAGGCTATTGAGATTACCACCGCAATGATATCTAACAGTGGTGATTTGTAACTATATTCTGAATATTTTTCTTCTTTTGTTTATTTCTAGTGCACGTGCTCGTCTCTGTGAGCAGCCTTACGTCACCCTTTTCCGGGAAGCTCTCTCTCTTCCGCCTCTGCCGCTGTGTCTGGGAGATCCGGGAAATCCTCTCCCCTCCCCCCTGTGGGAGCAGCCTGGGGAAGGGAGGGGCCAGTGTCAGAGAAGAACACAGCGTTTCCCGGACATAGAGACAAGTCCGGCAGCAGCAGCAGCAGCAGCAGCAGGAAGAGAAGGGGCTGTAATAGCTGGTGTTGGATTGCCATATTTCAGTTTGAATGCAGACTGTAAAAGCCGAGCAGTCGAGGAGGATCATTAGCAGGAACTAAGAAATGGAGTATAGGGCAGATCCAGGAAGCTGTATTTAAACTGGTAAACTAAAAGGAAACTTCTGCTTCTGGAAACTCGGACAGCTGCATCCAATTTCAGAAGAAAATACCTTAAAGTAAAAAAAGAGAAAATAAACGAAAACCCACACACAAAACTAGATATAAATAAAAACATGAATTAAAACAGGAATTGTGGGTGTTATGGATACTATACAAAAAAGCCACAACCTCTGTCAACGAGACCTTGTAGCATCCGTGACCCTGTTCAGTCTGATCAAAGTGAAATAACTTCGAGAAATGACAGGGGAGCGCAGGACACCATGCAGGCCCAACAGGGAGGAGAGACATGTGGACGGCCATCATCTCCCAAAACCGAGCGAGCCCTGGACACACGTGGAAAAAGGTCCCAGTGACTCCACCATGACACAAAGTACAGGTCGGATCTGACTTTCACTTAGTGGGAAAAAGTGGTGTTTAGTAAGTCCTTGGTGCATCTTTCAACTGTATCTGTTGGGGGCCCGGGTTTTTAGAGGAACAAAGAACAGTGTTGTAGTCAAAGCCCTGATCTCAATCTTGACTTCAAAGGCAATTATTTGTTGACATTGTCTATTTAGAAGTGTCCACAGGGAATGTATACTAAAGTCATTTACATCACTTAGAGTTTTGCTTTATTTGAGTTGCAAATATTTTCATATTTATTGTTGGTGTGTGTGTTTGTGTTTATTATTATGTTTATTATATCAAAATTTAAATATATTTTCTAACTATAATTGTTAATGGCCTAAACCGATGTATATAATTTCCTATTTAAGAGGTTAACCTCTTAAACTCCTACATATGTTTTGGCTCGTGCACAAAAGTTTGGCATACCCAAATGTCTTTGCTTATTTAAAAACACACCTTACATCTCACATGCTTGTGCGATGCATAATTTAAAGCTAGGCCCTTATAGTTTATGTAAATATGCACTGAAATAATGTATGTGATTCCTATTTTACTCTGCATCCTTTGAAGTTTGGGAAAAAAACCTGTTTTATTTAGCCTCGCCTAAAAAAATTCTATGTATAAATTATCTAAAAAGCCTACTTCATTGGAAGAAGAAAATGTTCAACGCTAATTTGTTTATTGTGTTGTTGACAACAACTGTGTAACGTTTCAGACTTCTAAGTTTTACAGTTTTTATGCAGTTTCTCTTTTTTATCAAGTAGTGCCATTTGGAACCAATTTGGCAAAATGTGTGCCAAATTGTGCCAAACTGCTTTACTAACATTTCACCATCATAAAAAGCATATTTTTTAGTTTTGGTACCTATAAGTTACAAATCTGTGATTTTCTTTAAAAAAAATTCAAAATTAATTTTTTAGTAGTGTAAATGCATATAAAATATGCGCAGCAGTATAAACAGCGTCTTTACACACGCTTTTACTGTAAAAATGAAAAGAGTTCCTACAAGTCCCACCCATCAAAAGAAAGCTCTTTTTATTGGCTATTTAGACATATCAATCATTTAGTGCTAGCACATAGCGCTAGCCTGTAATCAACAACAAGGCAAAAACGGACCCTCTGCAAGTGGATGCGGTTCGTCTTTTTCACAAGGGTCCTGCGGACTGAAACCTGCTCCTATCCTTTCATGGAACCTCTCTTTTTGAAGCTAAGGACTCAAGGAACACGTGGATATGATGTTTGTGGGGCTAAACAAAGCTCAAACTTGGTGAAATGTGAAAGAGAAGCCTGAACATTTTTCGGAGCGTTTTTTTTTTTGCAATAGAAAAATGTACATTTTTGGATTATTTCTGAAGAATGGATTATACTTTGGGAAATACAAGTGGATATTTTTTTTTTCAATGAAGACTTACGGAGAGAAAGAGACTAAGCAAGGATGGGGAAAGTCTAATTTGTAGGAGCAGCAGAAAAGAAACTTATACAAAAACGATTTATTTTGTGCCCATATTATGCGTTATATCTTTTGATTGGAATCTTGCTAAAACTTGAAATATATATTTTTTCCCAAAATAAAATAAAAACTAATATTCCGGAAAAAATATATTATTGACGCACCATGTTTTTCCCCCTTCATATTTTGGATCTGTTCTGAGTTCTGCTCTGACTTCACAAAGTCTGTCTGGTCCAGAAACAATACGGCTGTTATGCGACACTCTGTGATGTCATCAAAACGAGCCAGACTTTCCCGGATGCAGCAGGACGCACAGTCACATGACGGAGCTGTGGTCATGTGGACGACATGAGTCACATCAAAACACAAAGAACTCTTCTCAGCCACATGAGCTTTACACTCTCAGCAAACGGTTCATAACATATTAACCTTTATAGTTCCATGTGTTAGAATGAGAAAAGTGCAGAGTCTGTACAGGTGCCATTCATCTGTTCTGATAACACACTATAAACTTTATTGCTATAGTATATTATTACTACATCATTACATATTCCATTCATCTGATAATTCACTAGTCACTTTACCTGCTGCTATCATTGCTATTGTTCCCGCATGGTGCTGTGGCAGCAGCTCTGGAATGTACTACCCTGGTGCACACGGCTATAGTCTTGCACAGTTTTTCCATTGTGGTTTTACTGCAAATGGCAAATAAATTCTTAAATCTTGAATCTATTACTATTGTTTATTCTGCTAAAGTACACTATAAATTTCTAAATATAATCTTTCTTATGTACAATGTAAACATCTGTAAATACATCATGTTGCTGCTAACTACAGTGTTTACACCAATGTACTTATACTTTAACCAAGTGCAATTATACTTTTATTTTATATTGTTATCTTATTATTTCAATTTATTCTGTATTTTCTTGAATCATAGATCCTGTGTCATGTGTGCGCTTTTTTCCTCTTTTTATTCTGCTGTATTGTGCGCAATGATGACATTGGTGCACACTGGGGTAGTCTTGCACAGTTTTTCCAATGTGGTTTTAGTGCAAATGGCAAATAAATTCTTGAATCTTGAAATTCCCCCACGGTGGGACGAATAAAGGCTTATCTTATCTTAAATCCAGATATGAGCCAAACACATTTCTCAATCAGGAAATAAGCACATTTCCGCCTGTTTGAGTGATTTCTCATCGGCCTCAGCACAGTCTGTCCACTTCTAACATACAACTCATACTTTGTGGAACCTGCTTTTTCTGCAGAAACAGCAAGTCTTGTGCGGTATGACTCTACCAGCTGTGCACATCTAGAGACTTATTCGTCCTCACAAAACAACTCAAGCTCTGTCAGATTAGATGGAGAGTGTTTGTGAGCAGCAGATTTCTTTTTGACGCAGTGTTTAAAGGAGATATATTCTAGATGAGATGCTGTCATCATAGTTTGATGACAGTATATGCCGCCCAACTTCTCTATATGACACCCAATTTCTTCATATGAGCATGTTGTAGTCACACATTGTACTTTTGTATGACTCTGTTGGACTTAATGCAGTATTTTGATTTTCCAATTCTTAATGCATGCTTTATTCTATATTTACTTTAACCTGTTTGCACGAAGAGCCAAAGCAATTTCCTAGTTTGTGACTTCCTGTTACAGACAATGGCAATAAAAAGCATTCTGACATATTTAAGAAAACTGTTTGCAGTTCGCAGAATGTAATGTAATGTTCCAATGGTCTTACAAAGAACTTTCCAGGAAGTTTTTGCAGACTCCACGCTCTTAAAGTCTGAGGGATATTTTTGGTTGAGTAATGGAACACAGCTGAGATCATGACGACTTCACAAAGAATTCAAAAGTTTTACTGCAATTATTTGAGGGACAAATCAAAGAGTAGAAACTTCAGGCACAAACACGTGCCTGTGCATCTAAATTAGTTGTGTGAATTCCCCAAGTTTAAAAACTTTTAAACGGTCGCCTTTCATCTACATCACATAATACTGTAGTTTATTTAGGAATACAAGTTGCCCTTTATCAAATAGTTGTTCGAAGTGACCATACAACCACTCTTCACCACTCTTGAGAAAATCCTCTTTTTCATTTCAAAAGGGAGGTATCTGTTTTTTCAAATGAATTCTTCATATGTTTATTAATATAGCAGAATGAAATATCCCTCTTTTTATATCTGTATAATTTGACGTATATTTCTATGAACAAAGTACAGCTGCTGAAACAAAACTGTGCCAAAGACAATGAGGCTCAGTATTAGACTGCTGGGTTTAATAATATTTACTTTGAATTTTTACTAATTGCAGTTAGGGTTCAATGTTTATGATAATATTAATGGCGTGGCTGTTTTCTTTATTAGCCCAGACTCTATTTGATCTCCACTAGGGGGCCACAAAATACCTACCTCTAAAACAAAAAATGTCAAAGTTACATGTTGTCAGAGCACATACTTTGTTGTCATTATAATACCACGGCATCTGCGTGTATGTGCACGTCTGAGCGGCTCTGACTCGGCTTCAGACCAGTTTGGTTAGTTTCTATAATTGTCCCTGTGAAACACTTTTGTAGTTATTTATAATGTGCTCCTGGAGGGAAATGCAGGAATCTCCCTCGCAACCAAACAAAGCTCCTCTCACTGTCGTCGTGATGGGTACGTGTGGTTTCGAACTTGCATTATTAGTCTGAAAGATAATTTTAGTCTTAGAGTGTACTATCGGTGAATAATTTATGGCTCATATTCATATTATTTTTGGCTCAATCTATGTTGTTATGAAAGGCCAAATTTAAAGATTCTCAAGATAATGAGGGCCAAAATGAACATAAGCAGTGCGCAATATTTTGAATTGTTGTTTATTAACATTTATGGGCATTGGTCATCCCGCTTCCTGGGGACCAATGGCTCCAATGTGTTTGTTATTATTGCAATTTCCGTGTTTGAATTGTTTGATTCTCTGATCTGTTGTCAGTGAATCAACAATTGTGTAAAGTGCTGTTGTGATTTAGGGCTATAGGAAAATAAATTAAATTGACT